AGGGGCGGATCCAGGATCTTTTTTAAGAGGGGGTGCACTCGTCTCTTGCTCTACTTCAACACCAATAAACCACATAGTTTTTTTTTGCAGAATACCAGTTGTATTAGAAAACTGCATGTCATCCCTCCCCCTAGATCCGCCCCTGAAAATGTATGGTCGTTTTGCCGGGCGGCCAAAAAAAAGTGGCTGTAATAATGAGGTGGCCGTAAGAAGGGGTTCCACTGTATCCATAAACTAAAAATACAGCTCTTTATCTGTGACTTACTACCACCGATAACCTAACCTACTAATCTACTCATCAATTGGTTATAAATTATCATTACTACAAAACTATGAACAGTGAAAAGATAATAAAACGACTAGTTCCAAAATTAAAGAAAAGCTAGTGAAAAAGAAAAACTAATGAAAAGGTCACTAAGAATACAGCCTTGCCCTTCGGCTTAGCTTTAAGGTTACTTGTCAACTTACTCTTAACATGACTAAATTCTGGGGAGTTCCAAATATGGTGTGGTATCGCATTGAAAACATTTGGCAGTGCTGTCTTGGAAGGTACCTGATTGCGTCTACTTTCTGCTCAATCTGTGCTTTATACTCAGTTGTGACTACGATTTTATTTTGTAAAACTATAATTGTTCAAAAAGAAGCGACTTTAAAACATTTAGCCATAAAAAATTGCGAAAAAAACTTTTCTTAAAAACATTTAAAAAAGTTTAAAAACATACTACGTTTCGACGTTCTCAGCTGTCATTATCAAGTAAAAAATGCAGGATGAATGTTTTATAAATGCAAGAAAAACAATAGCTCATTAAAAAGAAAAGTAACATATAAAAAATATGTTACAATTTTTAAAACAGAGCGTTTAGCACTGATTGAGTCACTCTGAGTGTTAAGTCTAGGCCTCAGTTGAGTTTGATGAATAGGATTTACGAGGCGGTCAAATTTGCCGTGGCACTTACTGAGAACGCGAAATTGACCCTCACTAAGAAGATGTATGTCACCGTGCGCTTCTAAAAAATGTTTACTGGGCTTAAGACCTTGCTTTGCATTATGTATTCATTTATTTTAGTCAATTACAAGTGCATATAGGATTAGGTCTGTTCCCCAATCTCTCTCTCGGTGGGAAGTAGACCATGACTTAATCCAAATGAACTTAATAAAGGAAACAGTTTTTGGAAAGGTATCAGATCTGGCAGTCTTGAATTTGTTGCGATTTTACTTTATTAGCATTTAGTTGTCTTTTTAGCTTATATCTGCTTATTGCTCTGAGCTCAGGAAAGTAAAGTTGATTTTCTCTGAAAGTCGGCAATAGTCCGTATGTTATTTTCCCGGCGGTACTCACAGCAATTTAAAATCCAACACCATATATATCTGATTCAATGAACTGAAGTTGGGCAATTGTGCACTGGGAAGCTACTGTTTGATGGCCACTCGAGCAAACCATCGCAGTGAGTTCAGTATGCCCTTAATGCCCAATACCCAATTGCAAAAGCAACCTTTTAAAGTTATATAACAAACTGACGTATTTATTGTGTCTTGTTCACTTTGTTTTGCTAATACCCTTGTTCTGAACATTATGCCCATCCCTGTTTTATTGACATGTTCAGGTTATTCAAACGTTTTTTTTATTTTTATTGCAGAAGCACAAAAAATTGGTAACCCAGCTTCCTGCCTACTCACACATTTATCATTCCCTCATTTTCTTTCCAAAAATTTTAAGATCCCCCACCAAGCCTAGGGAAGGCATCTCTGCCACAACTTTTCGTACAAACTCTGCATTGCTAACGAAGAAACCAACTCAATTTGCATGAATTAATCTCCATATATTTAGCTTAATCTCGTCGAGGTGAGTTACATTAATCAGATTTTTAAGTACACATTAATTGTGATATGGTATTCGCAATGACCCATAATCCCGCTCAGTGACGCTATCTTTAACCGGGACCCTATAATTTGCTTTCACCTTATGTCACTGAAATTTCAATGCACCAACATTAGTCACCTCCATTTCTCATAAAATCACGGCAAAATGAGGCATTCTCTGTCCAAAGACGCTGCTTTTAACGGAGAAACAACTCCACGCCACATATTTCTTTGTAGCGACCCGCAATGTTTGCCCCCTGGCAATCCCAGAATCCTGTGCGCAAAACATTGGTCTCCGATTACTTTCGCGCCATAGCTACTGCGAGGTTTCAACAGTCGAAGCTTGTAGTTTATCACTCAATAAAATGTCTAAATCTACTGAAAAAGTCAACAAAAAGTATGCTGATACACATAAATCGATCATTGTGCCATTGATAAAATTGTCCCATCATGCGCTTGTCCTTCCTGGTCGCGTCCAGAATCGCCTTCGGTGATGGTTCGCTCTTTTTTTGACTTTATGATGCCCACTGTTCATTGATAACAATCTCAAAACATCCTGTCGATCTCTAATGTATTGGTTGTGTAAATGTATCACAGTTGCATTTATCTGAACGCATGATATCAAACTAGAAATCAGAGCAACTAACAAAGAAGCTACAACCTTGCTGTACGCCATGTTTGTTTATAATGCTCGCCGTGAAGACTGGATCCAAGAGAATGACGAAAGCGTATTCGAAAATTTCCGGATACGACCGTCCACACGTATACGTAATCGTATCGGATGAAAAAAATTTCCAGTCTGGAGAGCGTTTTCAAAAATTTCCGGATACGGCCGGAAAATACGCTGGATACGTGTGGACGCAAGCCGTATTCGCAAAAAAAAAAAATTGCGTTTTCACAAACTTCCGGATACGTGTGGACGATGGCTTAAATTTGGGTTTGGAAATGAGGTGACCCATCCCTGCAATGGGAGTGAAATTTGCTAACCCTCCCGTTAACCTAAAATATCATGACCCTCCCCCTCTTGTACAAAAGATAAAATCTAGTTCTTGCAATACACTAGGGTGAGTCAGTATTATGAAAGCTCAAAATATATTCTAATTTTTCTTTGTAATGCCATATACATACATTTTAGATGACAGCATTAAGAGTCCGACTCTGATTCTGACAGCTGATCACTCGACTCTCCTATTTCTCCCAGGTTTTTTTTTTACAAATAATAATAACATGTTTAAACAGGATAACCATTTCAGTTATAAAAACTGCTATCAATATGGGTCCTGCATAAAAATAAATGAATAAAAAGATAAAAACATTAATTATATATGAAACTGGGATACATTACATAATTATAATCAACGAAAAAAAGTAGCCTCCTAATGAACAAAACTACATACAATCATTAAAAAGGGTAGCCCCCCTATATAAAAAAAGGCCCTCTTAGTCAACTCGAGATTGACTTTATCAATAGATAACCTATCCTTAGACCTAGTGTCATAGTCATGAATATCATTAGTTCGCCGTCGAAAATAATCTGAGAATTAACTTGGAGCTTGTCCATCAAGACAATTCTTGACAAGTTTGACGATATGTTTCTCTCTTCTCGTCTTAAGAGGGTCCAAAATAAAGAACTTCCTTTTTCTTCTGTGGATGTGACCTCTAAATGATCACGGACACATTTGCATGACCCTGCCCCTTTTAACGGCCCATTTTTCATGACCCCTCCCTTTTCTGCACTTTCAAAAAGTTGTGACCCTCCCTCTGTTTCCACCCCCTCCCCCCTGCTAATTTCTGACAAGTCCCGTATGGATGATTGTAAGGGTTGATTACCGGTGACGCGTAATTTTTACGTTCGTAGGCGCCTAAAATTTACGCTCGCAAATAAAATGGAGGCAATACATGAAAGGTCGCTCGTAAGCGTAAAAGTTGAACCTCGCTCAACTTAACGTTTAAGCTCAGCACTTTTTAACTTTCCTCAATTTTGTTTACGTGATTAAAATTTACGTGCGTTAACGTGCGTAGTCAATGAAAGCGTCCGTGGAAATCAACCTTAAGGAAAAACAATTCTTTTATCCATGCCACTACTGAAAAAATTTGAGGGCGTTACGTGCGCTAGAAGACCTAGAACCTTTTTTAAAAATTTTCTATACATCTGTCTGTAAAAATTTCCCGTGAAAAATTGCAGAAAAATATATGGAAAATCTAAAGCAAACTTCTGCAGAAATTTAAGCACAGTTGTAGCTTTAGTTTACAGTTCATATTTTTTCCATACCAGCTTTTTTACGGAAATTATTCGACATTGGATTCTCATACAAACACTGTAATTTCTCACGCGTTTGCCTACTCGTCAAGTGTGGTGTCGAAAACCGTGACAAGGTCTGTTGTTTTATCCATGCTACTATGTGGGTCCTTGAAAGTTTTGCTGAGTATACACGTATTTAAGGACCCTAAAGACCCACTTCCGTCTCTTATGTCGATGTGTGGGACGATATTAGGTTTTAGTTTCATGGCATTTTGCTGTTATTATTGCATGATGTGTCATATGATATAGTTTTCAAAAGACCTTTGTTTGTCAGTATTCAAACCGCCAGCTCAGTGAATAATATCCTTAAAAAAACGTAGAGAGCCATGAACAATACAAGTTTGCTTTTGTTCTTTAAAATGCCCAGTTAGCAAATCTAAGGTGCCCCGGCTCGCTCACGCAATAAGACAAAGGAAATTCGACAACTTGACCGGGCAACTTGAGTTGCATGTGTTGAGCCCAGATCGATCATTCAGGGTCAAGAGGCGTGAACTGATCCAGATTTTTTTGCATTAAATTTTCTTGTACCCTTTTTAGAAATATATTTTTATCAGCCAGATTGCATGGTCAATAAAACGCCAATAAGGAAAATGAGGGGTGCTCAAATTGTGTTCCTGTAAAATATCGGCACTCTTTCACCGTCACATGTACATGAATCAAGTTTGATTGACGTCCAGGATTTTATAAAAATTCCATAAAAAGACTCGCTGCGAGTTGAAAGGTAACTTAAAACTGTTGACTTAACCTCCATTTGGCTAGCCAGAGTGTCAACAAGTCAAGGTCGGTCGTTGTTTCATATTAGTGAAAGAAACAGCTCCACAAGAAGAAGCGTTCAAAGATGCTGCTAGCAACGTTTTTTATCTTTTGTGCATGTTGGCTTCATGTTCGCGCAGAAATGGTGTCAACGAAGTATGGAGATATTGAAGGACTCGTGACTTTATATCCGAATGCCTCTGGTCCGTTCAAATCCGTCAGCAAATTTCTTGGCGTTCCTTTCTCCGCTCCACCAACTGGAGAGCTAAGGTTTAAAGCACCACAACCGCCAAGAGCGTGGAAACCAAAGGTTTATTCGGCTAAAACCCATGGGAGCGTCTGCTTACAGTTCAAACTTTCCGAAAACCTAATCAAGCCTTTTACTTCAAATTTCACTTTCAGCGAGGATTGCTTATATCTTGATATCTACAGCCCGAACATCAGCCTCAGTTTGCCAGTGATGGTTTACATTCACGGTGGAGGTTACGTTTTAGGAACAGCGATCACTTCTCCAAGCGATATCTTGGCTCTCCAGGGGGTGGTGGTGGTCATAATCCAGTATCGTCTAGGTCCTTTTGGTTTCTTGACGACCGGTGATTCGGCGGCACCTGGTAACTATGGAATGTTGGATCAAGTGGAAGCACTGAAGTGGGTCAAAGAAAACATCGAAAATTTTGGCGGGAATCCCAGCAAAGTGACCATATTTGGAGAGAGCGCTGGAGGATCCAGTGTGGGGCTCCATCTTCTATCGCCTCTATCTCGTGATCTCTTTCATCAAGCCATTCCAGAGAGCGGTGTAGATTTAAGTCCCTTTGCGATTCAGCCAACGTCTTTTGGTCTCCGTTTCACTAAAGAGCTTGCACAAAAACTGAATTGTGGATCCAGTGACCATTATGCAATGGTTTCTTGTATGCGCAGTAAAACAGCGTCAGACATGCAAAAAGCCGCCGAGTCAATCAAATTTGGTTTCGTTAATTATCTTTACTGGGCACCAGTCGTTGATAAAAACTTTCTTCATGATACACCCCAGGTTTTGAGGAAAAAAGGAGAATTCAAGCAAGTGCCGCTTATCATCACCTTCACAAGTCACGAGGGGTCGTTTTTTCTTGGAGACATGGTCAACAATTCTTTAGGACTGATGGAGAGCGTGGACAATGGAGTCAGTCCGACTTTGTTCAAATCATTTCTAACCAAGTTTGCTCAAGCTCTAGACAGTAGGTAAGATCAGTGAAAATTAAATATTTGCTCAGAAGTTTTTAAAGTACAGCAGCACCCCGATAACTCAAACTCGGATAACTCGAATTCCCCGCTAACTCGAAATAAAACTCCTTTCCCCTGATCAAAAAAAGTCAGTGAAATTTACCCCGATAACTCGAGTTCTGGTTCTTTTAACTACACTCGGATGCCACCCCATTAGCTCCTCTTGTGGTATTAGGGCCTGAAAACACTAAAACCTAACACTGGTTACTATTAAAGGCAATGTGATTTAAATTGGTGAAACGAACAGATCATGTTTTATCATAAAAGTGCCTAATCATGTTACCGTTTCTGACGAAATAAGTGCACCTTACACTGACGTACTCAGAAATCAGTAAATATCAATTTCTAACATGGCATATTGAATTTTTCAATCGACCCCGATAACTTGAACCCTCGCTAATTCGAACTGTTTTTCGTTTCCCCTCTGAGTTCGAGTTACTGGGGTTCTACTGTGGATGTAGCCACAGTTTTAGAATTTATTGACTGGCTCATAAACGTGGATTCTCAGCACAATAGCACTGAACCCGGCGCTAGCGTTTTAGACCCTCGCGTGGCTCCACAGGGGCTTCGCTTCTACATTAGGCTGCTGCAGGGCAATTAAGCCTCTTGGAGCCCATAGATACACGGTTGAAGAAGGGGCGTTTCCCGTCCAGGAAGTTGTTGTTTTACCTTTAAGATAGAGGTTTCGATAGTTTTGCAGACAACGTTGTAAAACTATTAGTTAATGAAACAAAATGGACTGGCTCGTTAGCACTCTTTTTCTTGAGATTTAATTTGGAATTGACTATTTGATTTCGGCTGATTGAAAATAGTTGTCGGAGATGTTGGGGTGGAGACGCACGTCATAATCCGGGGGAAGGCAATATTTGGGTATAGATGAGCCGCTGAGGGTTTGAAACCCTGACTGCGTTTAGTACAACAAAATTCTAAAATACATACCCTGTCAGGAGCCGATGTTTAGGATACAGGGAAAAATGCACGCCGTTTTGTTTTTAAGCCATTTATTAGCAATTGCAATAGAGCAAATTCACGTTATAGTCGTTGCTTCTGTATACTTGGAGTAGAAACAAATTTCATCCTGTTTACAATTGTGATAGGCTCGCATGAAATTATATAAAAAATTATATTTCTCTCTTGTGTTACATCAACATTTATTTGCAAGCAGTGTTTTACTTTCCCCTTCAAAATAAAACCAGAGAGGCAAGTACCTCGGATTGCTTCACACTGGGAACGGCTCTGGTCTGTGGAATAATTGTTAAATATCCGTCCTTTTTTTTAGGAAGAAGAATGCTGATCTTCTCGCCGATGCCTTGGAGTTCATGTACACCCCCTGGCCTGACAACAGTAACACATACGCATTAAGAAGTGGACTTGTTGATGTACTTGGAGATAACCTTTTGGTTGCCCCCAGTCACAAAGTCGCTGATGTTCACAGTCTGATCACTCCTGTTTACATGTATGAATTTGCTCATCGGGCAAAGTCAAGTTTGGCGGTACGTGCAGAGTGGATGGGCGTTCTTCATGGCGAAAACATTCCCTTTGATTTCGGAGTTCCTTTCCTTCCCAAATTTTCGTCACATTATAGTCAGGCTGACAGAAATGTTAGTCTGTTTATCATGACCATGTATGCAAACTTTGCCCGGTCCGGCGATCCTTCAGTCAGCGGTGTCGCGTGGGAGAAATACAATTCAAGTCACAGAGCTTACCTTAAAGTGGACACAAGTCCCAAACTGAAGACGTCATTTAATTCTCGCCGAATGTCTTTTTGGAATAATTACTATCCTAAATTGGAGCAGGTGAAGTTCGATGTCAATAAAGAGGTGGTCAGCGGTGCAAAGAATGTTGTTACCATGGGAACTGCTCTTCAAGTTGTATTTGCTTTAATAGTATACTTGATTTACTAAGACCTTACTTTGTTTTTTACTCATTCATTCAAGTTTATTAGAAGTGGATAAGACCAACATTTTCTTTAATTTTTATGAGCGGAAAGTAGAGCATGATGTATGTAGCCGAATCAACTAAAAAAGTCAGCAAAGAAAAAAGGGCGATTTCAGTTTTCGCAAAAAAAGTTCATGACTGTTACTGAATGAGGCTGAGAATGATACGAGGAATTATGCAGATAGAGGATTGAATAATTATACTGATTAGTGAATTAACAGGGTACAGACTTAAAATGTTTGTTGCTCCAGCAATTCAGATATCCATACATCGGTAGAGGATGTCTAAGCTTCGTACAATTCTACAATTGCTTTGGGCTCCATTAAATCCTAAATTTACATCTTTAAGTTCTGGCAGTCTTTCTTGTATTTGACCGAGCATTTAATTTACTATTGCAATTTTAGCTGATCGCACTGCTCTGAATAAAGTACGGTCAAACCTCTCTACAAAGGTCATGGGTTTACAACGTCCACGTTTTCTGTTCATAGACTCAAGTGTTCCCTCGTTTCCCTTAGAGACAGCAAAGCGAGAGAAAAGACCATTTGAAAAAACATCGTTCGCGATTCTTATTGGACGTATCATTTTTTTCACGTTTAAAAACATCGTTCGCTCCTTTGATTGGGTTGAACTAATTTGCGTATGAAAATTTACGACATAGCTTTTTGTGAGAATTTCTCAGTATGTATATCTAGCCGGGTTTATGAATACCGCACTGGCTGGCTCCTCGAGGCCACACACCTTAAACCGACTCAACTAAAGTAAATATTCGCAAGAAACTCAGCTCTTACCCATGGTTCTCTTAAGGTGACTCTCTTCTTGGTTCCTGATTAGCGAAGAAACATTCAAAGTCCATCAAATAGACACTCTGGACTTGGCCTTACACTCTAGCTGCTTGAAGGCTCTAAATGACAGAGGATGCTTGACACTTAAGGACGGTGCCCACTATTGTTACTGCGCACATTTTCTGCGCATCCCAAGGTAGTCGCGCGCGACGCGAAAGAAATGCGCAACACGCAGGCCACGCGGACTGGTTTTGTCTCCGCCAAGTCCAGGAGGTTCTAGTTATTTCTTGTGGAAAAGATGCGTCGTTTTTCAACAGATGACAAATAATTTCTATTTACCTTGTCAGTTCTTTGAAAACCAGTGAAGTATGCGCGTGTTGCTATTTCTGCCGTATGGTCGATCTGACCAAACATTTTATAGTCAAACAAAAGTTAATTCTATAAACATCAAAAGTTATTGCTTCGAGATGTTACGCTTGGAGCTTGGGTATTAAACAACCCCTTAATAGGTAAGGATCAGTAAATCAGAAGGAAAATAGCTTTAAGTTCTCCGCTTAATCGAGAAACTGCAAGCTTACCTTTCACCCGCGTCCTTCGCGCGGGATTTTATCAGCTAATCGGCTATAAACACTTTCCCGAATATTTCTTTAATTTCGTGAGATTTTATGTAATTACTCAGCAGAAGATAGACTTAGAGCGTTCTAGTACATACAGATGTCCCTTTTATTGAGAGTCCGAGGTTTTTATTTGTCGAACAAACAAGAAAAAAACTATCACTTGATTGCTTGGATTGCTGAGATCGCAACTTCACAAATAGTTGCGGACCGCAAAGGAAACGCTTTCATCGTGGAAAAAATCGTAAAAAATTGTTATGATTTTTACTATTATCATTGTTATTTAAGCATTTTGGCAGTACTAAGCATTAAAATTATTGACTCATGGGCAGCTTGTCGTGTAGATAGCATTTCTTAAGGATCAATTTCATGCCATACATAATCTGGACATTTAACAATTACTCTTTGAAATCGAGGTGAATAGTGGCTAAATATTTGCCGAGCCGCGAAAGCGGCGAGGTAAATATTACCAAAGCCACTATTCACCGAGATTGAAAAGAATAATTGTTTTAGTATATACACACGAAGTGATCTCAATAAAATCAGGGAGGAAACCATTAAAAAGTACAATTTGATTGACAGATCAAATCACGCGTAAGTTTAAAAATAGATCTTTGCAGAATTTTCAAACATGGCAAGTTTCACAAGTTTATCAGTTCGCAAACAACAGCGTAATGGCTTAAATGGAACCGCTAAAAGTTTGAACTGTTTCCTTACCTGAGAAGAAAAGTGGAGCTTTGTTGTTTTCTGTTGACTCGCCAAGTTTATAGCCAAAAGGGCTTGTTGTGTCGTTCTTCCCATGAAGTGCTCACAAAAATGGCCGGCTCGGTTGCTCGAGGTAAGAAGTCGTCTTCCTGTATTTCCTGTATCATTCTTTTTCCTGTTTACTTGAAACGTAGAATTTCTGCAAACATTTCCTTTTAAATTTGCTTGTCATAAATAAACTTCGATTTTTGAGGCAAAATTTTCTTGTTAGAAAACGCTGAGTTCACGAAACGGCTTCTTCTACGCGAATACACGGGAGTTGTAAACAATCCATCGAGCACAAAACTCAGCTACCGTAAATTGAAAAACGCCGTTTTGAATCCTTCCAAGTCTTTTCTTGCCTTAAAAAAAGTCAGCCCTAGGATTTTGTCGACTTTTAAAAGATCGTTCTCTACAAAAATGGGAAAAACACCGAGCTCACACATTATCCACTCGCTAGGAGGTGAATATTGTTGAATCGTCCGAGATAGCGAACCAATCAGATTGCTTAAATCACCAAGATCACTGAGTGTGTATATACTAATTAGACATAGCTGCCATTTGGCTGTTTACGAACTAAAGATGGAAGGTAAATAAAGTATTTCTATTCTAAGACTTTGTTAGGTTTAACAGACACTGTTAAGTCTAAAATTAACATTTAGGAACCAAAAATAGTGAATGAACATCACACAGAATGCTACAGTAAAAAAAATCAAAACGAAATATATAAAATGATCATTACAGCCCAGTTTATATATGAGGGTACATAAACGCATTCAGGGTACAACTACTTTCGCAGTATTCAGCTTTTTTAAAAGAGAGCTCATGATCATGTATGGAACTTGAGTCTATACATGCAAATCATTTATCTGATATAAAACTTGTGGCAAAGCCCGAAAGAGATAGCGCAAAGCACAGATATAAGCTCATTGAATGCATGCAAGTTTAATAACAGTATTCGATCCAGGTACCCGGTAAAATGATAAAAAACGATAGAAGGTTTACAATCCATATTGCATCTACAGTTAAAAAAATTTTGAGGACATGTACAGGTAAGCAAACGATTGAAGGAGTACCTGGCTAAGAGTCCCTGTCGACTATTTTCCACTACAGCACAGTAGTTTGTTTACAGCACCAACCTTGGATCTTGAGCTCGACATACTACGCTATGTGCCCTGGAAGTAATCTTTAATTCCGTCGAGATTGCTCTTCTCCAAAAATGTTAGTTAAAATTTTTGAGACGGAGAAGCTCCAGTTGAATGAAATAGTATAATTTGTTTTCCTTATGGTCCATGAAATGTCTTGCTTCACTTTCTGTTTTTCTCTTCCGTGGTTTGTTGTTATGCTGACTGTCAGCCATTGTGAATATCCCAGAGTACTCCGCGTTGAGTGAAGCAATAGTGAAACTGACCAGGGAGGGGATGTGAAAAATTGTAAATAACCCCCAAAGCGATTAAGTTAAGGTCAAAACCAACCAATTTAACTTCTAAAAACGCGTGGTAACCCCTACTTCTTATCTTCCCAAATGAAATTAATAAGCCTACTCAGCAAACGATCAATTTATTTTTGGTTCTGGGAAAATGTCGTTTACACTATTTTTAAGACAAACGCGTGGAGAGGGGTAACTGCTTATAACTTCCCAGTTGTGCTAGTATTTCAAAAAAAGACGTATAAAGAGCAGTTGTTATGTTATCACTTGTTGCTTATTTTAAAACCTTAGTGCAATTATCATTGCATGCATTTGTGCCAGTTTACGTGTACACTTCCGAAATTTTGGGAAAAAATAACTTTTTATCATTTTTCTAAAAAATGCCTATTCAGCGTTTTTCTCCATATTGAAGCGCAGTTATCTCTGAAAAATGCGTGGTTACCCCCAGTTTTCTTTTTGGATTTAAACAGCCGCTGATATGATCTACTTGTCTCACATAGTCATTATCTCGGAAAAAATACTTCCTATTAGTGGGCACCGTCCTTAAGCAAGTTCTAGGCAGAGAATTCAAGGTCACATCACTCCCGCTGACTTTCTCCCCCACCCCAGCCTAGCAGGTGCTTGAAGGGAATGCTTTCATTGGCCAATGGGCCTCAAACATTACAAGAACTTAAGGCAGACATGACGAGTGCACTGACTCTACCACAGCAAGACTATCGGGCAATACCACGCTTTTGCAGCACCCCCCTAGGGATTGACGTGGAGGCTTCTTCCCAACCCATGCCAAGTTAGCTCAAGGACTGAGCTTGACAATGAGACCAACCAGGGCGGCAAGCCCTCTATGTTTATTCTAACCGCAGTGACCAGACACCTGGCTATCGCCAGGTTCCTGTTCGGATATTCTGGCCCGTTTTGAGGTATGTTTTCAAAAATTCGGCTCGATATAATAAAGAGTTTTATTTCATCCCTTCCCATAGCGGTCGCCTGTTTAATTAATTCTAATTGTTATTTTTGCCTAGAAACGCTGCTGCTTACGCAATAGTGAAAGAAAAATACAAAATCAACAAAAGACAACTCAGTGGAAAATAAACCAACCCGGTGACGTTTTCTCCTACAACCCGGTAAAGATAAAGATTCCACTGGGTCTGTTACAGAGAGGTGTCCATATTGTCCACCTTTCAACAACGGACACGTACCTCACAAGAGGCCACACAAAATTTGTGAACGCTGTTCTTTTTTTAATTTAGAGGAAACGCTCTTCTTAATATTATCATAATACACTTTAATATATACACGCTCAGTTATCTTAGTGATCTAAACAATCTGATTGGTTCGCTATCTCGGACTATTCACCTCTAAGCGAGTGGATAATGTGTGAGCTCGGTGTTTTTCCCCTTTTTCAGAGAACGATCTTTTAAAAGTCGACAAAATCCTAGGGTTGACTTTTTTTAAGGCAAGAAAAAACTTGAAAGGATTCAAAACGGCGTTTTTCCATTTACTGTAGTTGAGTTTTGTGCTTGATGGATTGTTTACAACTCCCGTTTATTCGCGTAGAAGAAGGCATTTCGTGAACTCAGTGTTTCCTAACAAGAAAATTTGGCCCAAAAATCGAAGTTTATTTATGAAAAACAAATCTGAAAGCAAATGTTTGCAAAAATTCTACGTTTCAAGCAAATAGGAAATAGAATGGTACAGGAAGACGACGTCTTACCTCCCCGAGCAACCGAGCCGCCATTTTTGTCAGCACTTCATGCGAAGAACGACTATAAACTTGGCGAGTCAACAGAAAACAACAAAGCTCTACTTTTCTTCTCGGGTAATTCAAACTTTTAACGGTTCCGTTTAAGCCATTAAGCTTTTGTTTGCGAAGTGATAAACTTGTGAATTGCCATGTTTGAAAATTCTGCGAAGATCATTTTTAAACTTCCGCGTGATTTGATCCGTCAATCAAATCGTACTTTTGAATGGTTTCCTCTCTGTTTTTGAAAGAGATCACTTCGTGTGTATGTACTAAAAGAATTATTCTTTTCTCGCTGAATAGTGGCTTTAGGAATATTTACCTCGCCTCTTCGCACCGCGGTAAATAAAAGCAACTATTCACCTCGATTTCAAAGAATAATTGTTAAGTGTAGCAATTTATTTACCCTGATTAAGATCAAAATAAACTTATTTGTATTTTATTTATTTTTGTCCTTGTTCCCTTTTGTCTGCTATCAAAAGAGTTTTGAGGGCCGCTTATCACTAACCCTCACACTCTTTTAAAGAACTCTAATCCAATAAGACACCCTGTTTTCCCTGTTAAGAACTCAAGACCCTGAAAACCATGCTTTCAGCGGCTTACCCGTATAGGCCCAAGAAAGTACTCCTCCCCGGATGTTGGCCCCAGTTTTTTTAAGTTGAATAGCGCTATCCGCGGATAGATTTCTCTTCGGTGGGTTGGTGTGTGGAAAAACAAACTGCGTTTATGTGGTGGTCTGGATAACACATATTTTGCTGAATACTCAAACTAATGACACATTCTAATGTTCATTTCAGCGATTTTGCTTTTATCAATTGCATGATCTGTTTATGATATGTGCATAAAACTTATATGTGTTGTTAAAAATGCCAACCCCAATAAACCGGCAGCAAATGAACAATGCCAGTTTCTGTAGCAAGAAATGTGGTCTTTCGTGAGAAAAAAATATATTGTTTTGTGAACTGATGACTTTCGCAGTTGCCATTCGATTTGATTAAAAGTAGGAACATTCCTCAGTTCATTAAGATTGAAAGAGTGTGATAACAAGACGTGAATTTCTTAACATTTTTATCCATGCTATACACGTATTTAAGGACCCTAAAGAACCACTTCCGTCACTAAAGTCGATATATCGGACGATATAAGTTCCGTTTCTTGGAATTTTCCTAATATTAATTCCATGATGTGTCATGATATACTTTTCAAAAGACCTTTTTTTGTCAGTATTAAAACCGCCAGCTCAGTGAATAATATCCTTAAAAAACGCAGAGAGCCATGAACTATACCAATTTCCTTTTGTTCTTTAAAATGCACAGTTAGCAAATCTAAGGTGCTCCGGCTCGCTCACGCAATTCGATAACTTGACCGGGCAACTTGTGTTACATGTGTTGGGCCCAGATCGATTATTCAGAGTGAAGATGCGTGAAATCCAGATTTTTCCCATAGTTTGTAATAAATTGTTTTGTAACCTTTTTAGAAATATATTTTTATCAACCAGATTGCATAGTCAGTAAAACGCCAATAAGGAAAATGAGGGGTGCTCAAATTGTGTTCATGTAAAATATCGGCACTCTTTCACCATCACATGTATATGTATCAAGCTTGATTGACGTCCAGGATTTTAAAAAACATTTCCATAAAAAGACTTGCTGCGAGGGGAAAAGTAACTCAAAACTGTTGGCTTAACCTTCATTTGGCTAGTTTCAACAAGTTAGTAAAAGAAACTGCTCCAAAAGAAGAGGTGTGTTTAATGATGCTGCTAGCAACGTTATTTCCCTTTTGTGCATGTTGGCTCCATGTTCGAACAGAAACAGTGTCAACTAAGTATGGAGATATCGATGGTCTCGTGACTTCGTATCCGAATGCTTCTGGTCCGTTCAAATCCGTCAGCAAATTTTTCGTTGGCGTTCCTTTCGCCGCTCCAGCAACTGGAGAGCTAAGGGTTAAATCCCCAAAACCGCCAAAAGAGTGGAAACCAAAGGTTTATTCGGCTAAAACCCATGGGAGCGTCTGCTTACAGCCCAAACTTTTTGAAAACTTTATCGAGCCTGGCAAATTTCACTTTCAGCGAGGATTTCTTAAATCTTGATATCTACAGACAAAACAATACTGACTTTTTAGATGGAAATATTGTATTTTGCTGAGCATTTAATTTACTTTTTCAATTTTAGCTGATATCAGATCCGGGACTGCTCTGAAAGTACAGTCAAAACCCTCTACAAAGGTTATGCGTCTAGAACGTCCACGTTTTTGGACTTACAGTCCATAACCTCCTCCGGCATCTAGTTTTCTACCATGTCTTTTCAAGTATTAGTCCATGAGTACAGGAATTATGATCTAATTACCCTGAAAATGTGGTTGCCTTTTTTGTTGATGTACATGTAGATTGTGTTAGGTACTTTAAAATATGTAATACAAAGCATTTTTAAAACTAAAATTGTTACACTCTCCCTTTACGGCACTAAAAATAGAGTTCTATTTCATCCCTACCTCCCCAGAACGGTCGCCTGTTTAATTAATTGTCATTATTATTCCTTGCTGTTCTTTTCAGAGAAAATGTTCTTATTATCGTAGTACACTGTGTTGCAGTGTATTTACCCTGATGAAGATCACAATAAACTTATTTCTACCTTATTTTTGTTCTTGTTCCCTTTAGCTATCAAAACGGTTTTGAAGGCCGCTTATCACAAGGCTTCACACTCTTAGCATTCTAATCCAATAAGACATCCTGTTGAAGTCGCTACATGGCGATATTGTTTTCCCTGTTAAGAACTCAAGTCTCTGAAAATCATGCTTTCAGCGGCACACCCGTATAGGCCCAAGAAAGTACTCCTCGTCGGGTGTTGGCCCCAGTTTTTTTAAGTTGAATAGCGCTATCCGCGGATAGATTTCTCTTCGGTGGGTTGGTGTGTGGGAAAACAACTAAGTTTACCTAGTGGTCTGGATAACAGATATTTTGCTGAATACTCAAAATAATGACACATTCTAATGGTCAGTTCAGCGATTTTTCTTTTATCATTTGCATGATCTGTTTATGATATATTCATAAAACCTAAATGTGTTCTTAAAACTGCCAACCGAATAGACCGGCAGCAAATGAACAATACCTGTTTCTGTCGCAAGAAATGTGGCCTTTCGTGAGAAAAAAAAATATTGTTTTGTGAACTGACTTTCGCAGTTGCCATCCGATTTGATTAAAAGTAGGAAAATTTCTCAATTCATTAAGATTGAAAGAGTGCGATAACAAGACGTGAATTTCTTAACATTTTTATTCATGCTATACACGTATTTAAGGACCCTAAAGACCCACTTCCGTCCCTAAAGTTGATGTATGGGACGATATTAGTTCCGTTTCTTGGAATTTTCCTTTTATTAAATGCATGATGTGTCATGATATAGTTTTCAAACGACCTTTGTTTGTCAGTGTTAAAACCGCCAGCTCAGTGAATAATATCCTTAAAAAAACACAGAGAGCCATGAACAATACCAGTTTCCTTTTGTTCTTTTAACTGCACAGTCAGCGAATCCAAGGTGTTCTCGCTCACGCAGTAAGATTAAAGAAATTCGACAATATGTGTTATATGTGTTGGGTCCAGATCGATCATTCAGGGTGAAGATGCGTGAACTGATCCAGATTTTTCTCATAGTTTGCATTACATTTTCTTGTAACCTTTTTAGAAATATATTTTTATCAGCCATAATTACATAGTCAATAAAACGGCAATAAGGAAAATGAGGGGTGCTCAAATTGTGTTCCTGTAAAATATCGGCATCCTTTCACCATCACATGTACATGTATCAAGTTTGATTGACGTCAAGGATTTTAAAAAAATTCCATAAAAAGACTCGCTGCGAGTTGACTTAACCTTCCTTTGGCTAGTGCCAACTAGTCAAGCTCGGTCGTTGTTTCATATCAGTGAAAGAAACAGCTCCACAAGAAGAAGTGTTCAAAGATGCTGGTAGCAACGTTTTTTATCTTTTGTGCATGTTGGCTTCACGTTCGAGCAGAAATAGTGTCAACGAAGTATGGAGATATCGATGGTCTCGTGACTTCGTATCCAAATGCCTCTGGTCCGTTCAAATCGATCAGCAAATTTCTTGGCGTTCCTTTCGCCGCTCCACCAACTGGAGAGCTAAGGTTTAAAGGCCCACAACCGCCAAAAGAGTGGAAACCAAAGGTTTATTCGGCTAAAACCCATGGGAGCGTCTGCTTACAGCCCAAACTTTTCGAAAACTTAATCGAGGCTTTTACTTCAAATTTCACTTTCAGCGAGGATTGCTTGTATCTTGATATCTACAGCCCGAACATCAGCCTCAGTTTGCCAGTGATGGTTTACATTCACGGTGGAGGTTACCTTATGGGAACAGCGATCACTTTTCCTAGCGATATCCTGGCTCTCCAGGGGGTGGTGGTGGTCATTATCCAGTATCGTCTAGGTCCCTTTGGTTTCTTGACGACGGGTGATTCAGCGGCGCCTGGTAACTATGGGATGTTGGATCAAGTAGAAGCACTGAAGTGGGTCAAAGAAAACATTCAGAATTTTGGCGGGAATCCTAGCAAAGTGACCATATTTGGAGAGAGCGCTGGAGGAACTAGCGTGGGGCTCCATCTTCTATCGCCTCTATCACGTGATCTCTTTCATCAAGCCATTCCAGAGAGCGGTGTTGATTTAAGTCCCTTTGCGATTCAGCCAACGTCTTTTGGTCTCCGTTTCACTAAAGAGCTTGCACAAAAACTGAATTGTGGATCCAGTGACCATTATGCAATGGTTTCTTGCATGCGCAGTAAAACAGGGTCAGACATGCAAAAAGCCGCCGAGTCAATCAGATTTGGTTTCGTTAATTATATTTACTGGGCACCAGTCGTAGATAAAAACTTTCTTCATGATACACCCCAGGTTTTGAGGAAAAAAGGAGAATTCAAGCCATTGCCGCTTATCATCACCTTCACAAGTAACGAGGGAGCGACTTTTCTCGGAGACATGGTCAACAATTCTTTTGGGCTGATGGAGAGCGTGGACAATGGAGTCAGTCCGACTTTGTTCAAATCATTCCTTACTAAGTTCGCGCAAGTTCAAAACAGTAGGTAAGATCAGTGAAAATTAAATATTTGCTCAATAGTTTCAATGCAGCAGATCCCCGTTAACTCCAACTTCCCGCTAACTCTGACTAAATTCAATTTCCCTTGGATTTCACCCCCCTTTTCTGTCATTTGTACACGGTTAACTCCAACTCGGATAACTCGAATTCCCCGCTAACTCGAACTAAAACACCTCTTCGCCTCCCCTGATAAAAAAAGTCTCTGAAATGTACCCCGATAACTCGACTTCTGGTTCTTTTAACTACTAAACTAATCTATAAACTAACTAATCCCAGTAGCTCTTCTTGTTATATGAGGGCGTGAAACACTAAAACTGACACTGGTCACTGTTAAAAGCAATTTCATTTTAATTGGTGAAACGAACAGAGCACGTTTTACCATAAAAGTGCCTAATCATGTTACCGTGTCTGATAAAATATGTAAACTTGTACTGCACCATACACTGAAATGAATTTTTTAATCGACCCCGGTAACTCCCGGCTTGACTACTCGAACTGTTCGGTAATCGAACTTAATCGAACGAACCACGAGAGTTCGATTAAGTTCGATTTTTGAACTTAATCGAACCAATCGAACTTAATCAAGCGTTCTAAACCAACACTTATAGACAAGAACAAAGCAATAAAACAACCAAATCAACTAAGATCGTGAGGAATAAATGTTATGGGTTTATTGAATTCGCGTGATCGCTTTGTTTTACTGTAGCGCTGCTTTCGCGTGGCAGACACAAACGTGGAGGAAATCTGAACGTGCCGGTGCGATTGGCTGCGGCGTTACCTACGAGGGACGTTCTAAAGTTAAAAAACCCTCTAATGAAGCATATCATTCACTCTGTGAATGAGGAGGTTGATTAAAGGATAAAGTTGTAATATGGCGATGTAGTCTTATTGTTCCCGGGTGTTCTTGTATATATTTTCGCTCCAAAAATTACACTACACGGTACACTGATCTGCTACAACGTAACCACTACCGGAATATACTCAGTCGTAGTTTATTATGTACCCTGTTTAGGACAGAAAGGTCAGGAACCAAACCCTGTCCAGTGGCACATCCCCGTATAGGTCATATAACCTAAGCAAGTAACCTCCCGGGGTCATAACAGGCCATCAACCATGTTGCATTAACATTTATCAAGAGAGAGTAATAGCGACTGCTGTTTCTCTCTGGAGACCATCCTCCGATTAACTCAAGCGTTTATCGATCGCAAAATAACTTTGGTGAAATTCACATACCCCCAGGGCTAGACAGGGCCTTTCCCTCTGTGTCTCATTATTCCCTTTTTGCATTTATTTATTCATTTCAGTGTTTATTTATTTGCTTTTGTTTTATTTGCGCGCAGTGTTTTACTTTTCCCTTCAAAATAAAACTAGTGAGGCAAGTGCCTCGGATTGCTTCACACTGGGCACGGCTCTGGTCTGTGAAATAATTGTTAAATATCCGTCATTTTTTTAGGAAGAAGAATGCTGATCTTCTCGCCGATGCCTTGGAGTTCATGTACACCCCCTGGCCTGACAACAGTAACACATACGCATTAAGAAGTGGACTTGTTGATGTTATTGGAGATAACCTTTTCGTTGCCCCCAGTCACAAAGTCGCTGATGTTCACAGTCAGGTTGCTCCTGTTTACATGTATGAATTTGCTCATCGGGCAAAGTCAAGTTTGGTGATACGTGCAGAGTGGATGGGCGTTGTTCATGGCGAAAACATTCCCTTTGGTTTCGGAGTTCCTTTCCTTCCCAAATTTTTGCCATTTTATAGTCCCGCTGACAGAAATGTTAGTCTGTTTATTATGACCATGTATTCAAACTTTGCCCGGTCCGGCGATCCTTCAGTCAGCGGTGTCGCGTGGGAGAAATACAACTCGAGTCACAGAGCTTACCTTAAAGTGTACACAAGTCCCAAACTGAAGGCGTCATTCAATTCTCGTCGAATGTCTTTTTGGAATAATTACTATCCTAAATTGGAGCAGGTGAGGTTCGATGTCAATAAAGAGGTGGTCAGCGCTGCAGAGGATGTTGTTACCATGGGAACTTCTCTTCAAGTTGTATTTGCTTTAATAGTATACTTGAGTTACTAAGACCTTACTTTGTTTTTTACTCATTCATTCAAGTTTATAAGAAGTGGATATGATTAATATTTTCTTTAATCGGTTGATGAGCGGGAAGTAGAGCATGGTGTATATAGTCAAACCAACTTAAAAAAGTCAGTAAAGAAAAAAGGGCGATTTCAGTTTTTGCAAAAAGGTTCATAACTGTTATTGAATGAAGCTGAGAATGATACGAGGAATTATGCAGATAGAGGATTGAATAATTATACTGATTAGTGAATTAATAGGGTACAGACTTAAAATGATTGTTGCTCCTGCAATTATAACCATTCATCGATAGGAAATGACTAAGGTTCGAACAATTCTACAATTGTTTTGGGCTCCATGAAATCCTAATTTTATATCTTTAAGTTTTAGCAGTCTTCATTGTATTTGGCCGAGCATTAAATTTACTATTTTTTTTAAATTGCAATTTTAGCTGATCGCACTGCTCTGAATAAAGTACAGTCAAACCTCTCTACAAAGGTCATGGGTTTGTAACGTCCACTTTTTCTGTTCATAGACTCGAGTATTCCCTCGTTTTCCTTAGAGACAGCAAAGTGAGCGAAAGGGCCATTTGAAAAAACATCGTTCGCGATTCTTATTGGACGTATCTTTTTTTATCACGTGTGAAAACCATCGTTCGCTCCTCTGATTGGGTAGAACTAATTTGCGTATGAAAATTTACGACATAGCTTTTTGGTGAGTAGTTCTCAGTATATATATCTAGCTGGATTTGTGAAAACCGCACCAGCTGGCTCCTCGAGGCCACACACCTTAAACCGACTCAACTAAAGTAAATATTTCCAAGAAACTCAGCTCTTACCCATGGTTCTCTTAAGGTGACTCTGTTCTTGGTTCCTGATTAGCGAAGAAACATTCAAAGTCCATCAAATAGACACTCTGGACTTGGCCATACACTCTAGCTGTTTAAAGGCTCTAAATGACAGAGGATGCTTGAGACTTAAGCAAGTTTTAGGCAGAGAATTCAAGGCCACATCACTCCCGCTGACTTTCTCCCCCACCCCAGCCAAGCAGGTGCTTGAGGGGAATGCTTTCATTGGCCAATGGGCCTCAAACATTACAAGAACTTAAGGCAGACATGACGAGTGCACTGACTCTACCACAGCAAGACTAACAGGCGGTACCACGCTTTTGCAGCACCCTCCCACCTAGGGATTGACATGGAGGCTTCTTCCCAACCCATACCAAGTTAGCTCAAGGACTGAGCTTGACAATGAGACCAACCAGGACGGCAAGCCCCCTATGTTTATTCTCACCGCAGTGACCAGAACCCTGGCTATCGCCAGGTTCCTGTGCGGATATTCTGGCCCGTTTTGAGGTATGTTTTCAAAAATTCGGCTAGATATATATAATAAAGAGTTTTATTTCATCCCTTCCGATAACGGTCGCCTGTTTAATTAATTCTAATTGTCTCCGAATCATTAGGATTACGACGTTAAGGCAATAGCATTCTGGGCGACGACATCGTTTGAACAGGGCTTACCTTACACCGTTTTTCTTATATATTATTTATTTCTGCAAAAAATTCGCCGTTTCTAATTGGCCCAAATCCCCCGGGCTACCTCTACATAACCAACTGGCATTTACCATATTTGGGAAATGCGTGCGAGCAATATATTGTAAAAGACAAACTTAAAGCAAGGAGCACACATACACCAACCTACGGCCTGGCCAGTACCTCACGCATGCCCCCTTGCTTAAAGTTTGTCTTATTATATTGTCAATTGGATGATATTTTTGCCTAGAAACGCTGCTGCTTACGCAATAGTGAAAGAAAAATACAAAACTAAGAAAAGACAACCCAGCCGGAAAATAAACCAACCCGGTGAAGTTTTCTCCTAGAACTCGGTAAAGATACAGATTCCGCTGGGTCTGTTACAGAGAGGTGTCCATATTGTCCACCTTTCAACAACGGACACGTACCTCACAAGAGGCCACACAAAAGTTGTGAACGTTGCTCTTTTTTTAATTTAGAGGAAACGTTCTTCTTAATATTATCATAATACATTTTAATATAGACACACTCGGTTATCTTAGTGATCTAAATAATCTGATTGGCTCGCTATCTCGGACTATTCACCTCTAAGCGAGTGGATAATGTGTGAGCTCGGTGTTTTTCCCCTTTTTCAGAGAGCGATCTTTTAAAAGTCGACAAAATCCTAGGGTTGACTTTTTTTAAGGCAAGAAAAGACTTGAAAGGATTCAAAACGGCGTTTTTCCATTTACTGTAGTTGAGTTTTGTGCTCGATGGATTGTTTACAACTCCCGTTTATTCGCGTAGAAGAAGGCATTTATCGAAGTTTATTTATGACAAACAAATCTGAAAGCAAATGTTTGCAAAGATTCTACGTTTCAAGCAAATAGGAAAAAGAATGGTACAGGAAGACGACGTCTTACCTCCCCGAGCAACCGAGCCGCCATTTTTATCAGCACTTCATGCGAAGAACGACACAACCATAGGAGTACGGGCTATTTTTTGCCAGGGGGGGCGGTAAACCATTTGCCCAAAAAATTTTTGCAAGTTGCCCAAATTTTTACAAAACAGTCGAACAGAAACGAGGGCCGATGCAACAACATAGGCAGCACTCGCATATGAAAATGGCTCCATACAGTTTTTCAGGGTCAATACCTGCCAAGTTTGAGCATAAACTACGTCGCCATAAACAAACATTTGGAAAAATTACCACCACACTTGTATTAGATAAGATGAAAATTTGTTGTGATCAGGGTTGCAATGACATCGGAGATGTTATAGCAACGAAATGAAGCCATTACCTATTATACTTGCAGCAATATTTCTCTCTGGGAACTGTTCTTCTAAAATCGATCACATGAGCTTTTTCCTCCTATAGTCGCCTCGATGTTCGTGAAGTTAAAACGGAATCTGTAAGAGCGTTATCGAGATAGTTTGGGATAAAGTTTTTATCGTTGGAAATACGGTAAAAAAAGGAAAATCTTGATGTTTGGCCGTTATCTGTAGAAAACGATGCGCTTTTGACATGCAACTTCTCCTTATAGTAGTGTCAATCTTTTTAAAAACGGGAGATAGATCGGCCAATTACTACAAAGAAGGATTTGATTAGTATGTATCATGGCGCTCTTGTTAGCGGTTTTGTAAACATTTCAGTCTACTTTAACAAATTATTGAATAATTTTTAAGCCGCTCGATAGACTTTTTAAAAAAATCAAGATTCTTCTCGCAATTCAAACTGAGAATTAGTCAGCCACTTCTTCACTTTAAGACCCATTGCTGATGCTATCTGCCATACAGTGTTCTACGAGCGGAGATGATTCTAGAAAGTTAGACGGAAGTTTATTCTAATCAATTCACGACTGGAAATAGCCCATTGCAGTACAGTGCCCAACAATAAAAAAAAAATCAGCATATGATACCTTTCCTTTATAACCAGAAATTCGTCGCGTGCTAGGCAGACAATGTCTCGTGTCAATGTAACTGGATTATTACGCCGACTTCAGGTTAAAAGAGAAAATATTTATCTCTTCAAAATATTAATAAAACATGGCGACGTCTTTGCCCAAATTTTCTCGTGCTGCCCAAAAAATCTTAGTTGCCCAAAATTTGGGGGGGCTGCAGCCCCCCTCGCCCCCCCGGCCCGTACGCCTATGGACACAACAAACCCTTTTGGCTATAAACTTGGCGAGTCAACAGAAAACAACAAAGCTCTACTTTTCTTCTCGGGTAAGGAAACAATTCAAACTTTTAACGGTTCCGTTTAAGCCATTACGCTGTTGTTTGCGAAGTGATAAACTTGTGAATTGCCATGTTTGAAAATTCTGCAAAGATCAGTTTTAAAATTCCGCGTGATTTGATCCGTCAATCAAATCGTACTTTTGAATGGTTTCCTCTCTGTTTTTGAAAGAGATCACTTCGTGTGTATGTACTAAAAGAATTATTCTTTTCTCGCTGAATAGTGGCTTTAGGAATATTTACCTCGCCGCTTTGCACCTCGGTAAATAAAAGCAACTATTCACCTCGATTTCAAAGAATAATTTTTAAGTGTAGCAATTTATTTACCCTGATTAAGATCAAAATAAACTTGTATTAAAAAAATTTGTATTTTATTTATTTTTGTCCTTGTTCCCTTTTATCTGCTATCAAAACAGTTTTGAAGGCCGCTTATCACTAACCTTCACACTCTTTTAAAGAACTCTAATCCAATAAGACACCCTGTTGAAGTCGCTAAATGGCGAAATTGTTTTCCCTGTTAAGAACTCAAAACCCTGAAAACCATGCTTTCAGCGGCTTACCCGTATAGGCCCAAGAAAGTACTCCTCTCCGGATGTTGGCCCCAGTTTTTTTAAGTTGAATAGCGCTATCTGCGGATAGATTTCTCTTCGGTGGGTTGGTGTGTAGAAAAACAAACTGCGTTTATCTGGTGGTCTGGATAACACATATTTTGCTGAATACTCAAACTAATGACACATTCTAATGGTCATTTCAGCGATTTTGCTTTTATCAATTGCATGATCTGTTTATGATATGTGCATAAAACTTATATGTGTTGTTAAAAATGCCAACCCCAATAAACCGGCAGCAAATGAACAATACCAGTTTCTGTCGCAAGAAATGTGGCCTTTCGTGAGAAAAAAATATATTGTTTTGTGAACTGATGACTTTCGCAGTTGCCATTCGATATGATTAAAAGTAGGAAAATTCCTCAATTCATTAAGATTGAAAGAGTGTGATAACAAGACGTGAATTTCTTAACATTTTTATCTATGCTATGCACGTATTTAAGGACCCTAAAGACCCACTTCCGTCACTTAGGTCGATATATCGGACGACATTATTTCCGTTACTTGGAATTTTCCTAATACTAATTCCATGATGTGTCATGATATACTTTTCAAAAGACCTTTTTTTGTCAGTATTAAAACCGCCAGCTCAGTGAATAATATCCTTAAAAAAACGCAGAGAGCCATGAACAATACCAATTTCCTTTTGTTCTTTAAAATGCACAGTTAGCAAATCTAAGGTGCTCCGGCTCGCTCACGCAATTCGATAACTTGACCGGGCAACTTGTGTTACATGTGTTGGGCCCAGATCGATTATTCAGAGTGAAGATGCGTGAAATCCAGATTTTTCCCATAGTTTGTAATAAATTGTTTTGTAACCTTTTTAGAAATATATTTTTATCAACCAGATTGCATAGTCAGTAAAACGCCAATAAGGAAAATGAGGGGTGCTCAAATTGTGTTCATGTAAAATATCGGCACTCTTTCACCATCACATGTAAATGTATCAAGTTTGATTGACGTCCAGGATTTTAAAAAACATTTCCATAAAAAGACTTGCTGCGAGATGAAAAGTAACTCAAAACTGTTGGCTTAACCTTCATTTGGCTAGTTTCAACAAGTTAGTAAAAGAAACTGCTCCACAAGAAGAGGTGTGTTCAAAGATGCTGCTAGCAACGTTATTTCTCTTTTGTGCATGTTGGCTCCATGTTCGAACAGAAACAGTGTCAACTAAGTATGGAGATATCTATGGTCTCGTGACTTCGTATCCGAATGCTTCTGGTCCGTTCAAATCCGTCAGCAAATGTTTCGTTGGCGTCCCTTTCGCCGCTCCAGCAACTGGAGAGCTAAGGTTTAAAGCCCCACAACCACCAAAAGAGTGGAAACCAAAGGTTTATTCGGCTAAAACCCATGGGAGCGTTTGCTTACAGCCCAGACTTTTCGAAAACTTTATCGAGCCTGGCAAATTTCACTTTCAGCGAAAGACAAAACAATACTGACTTTTTAGATGGAACTATTGTATTTTGCTGAGCATTTAATTTACTTTTTCAATTTTAGCTGATATCAGATCCGGGACTGCTCTAAAAGTACAGTCAAAACCCTCTACAAAGGTTATGCGTCTAGAACGTCACGTTTTTGGACTTACAGTTCATAACCTCCTCCGGCATCTAGTTTTCTACCATGGCTTTTCAAGTATTAGTCCATGAGTTCAGGAATTATGATCTAATTACTCTGAAAATGTGGTTGCCTTTTTTGTTGATGTACATGTAGATTGTGTTAGGTATTTTAAAATATGTAATACAAAGCATTTTTAAAACTAAAATTGTTACACTCTCCCTTTACGGCACTAAAAATAGAGTTTTATTCCATCCCTACCTCCCCAGAACGGTCGCCTTTTTAATTAATTGTAATTATTATTCCTTGCTGTTCTTTTCAGAGAAAATGTTTTTATTATCGTAGTACACTGTGTTGCAGTGTATTTACCCTGATGAAGATCACAATAAACTTATTTCTACCTTATTTTTGTTCTTGTTCCCTTTAGCTATAAAAACGGTTTTGAAGGCCGCTTATCACTAGGCTTCACACTCTTAGAATTCTAATCCAATAAGACATCCTGTTGAAGTCGCTACATGGCGATATTGTTTTCCCTGTTAAGAACTCAAGTCTCTGAAAATCATGCTTTCAGCGGCACACCGTATAGGCCCAAGAAAGTACTCCTCGTCGGGTGTTGGCCCTAGTTTTTTTAAGTTGAATAGCGCTATCCGCGGATAGATTTCTCTTCGGTGGGTTGGCGTGTGGGAAAACAACTAAGTTTACCTAGTGGTCTGGATAACAGATATTTTGCTGAATACTCAAAATAATGACACATTCTAATGGTCAGTTCAGCGATTTTTCTTTTATCATTTGCATGATCTGTTTATGATATATTCATAAAACCTAAATGTGTTGTTAAAACTGCCAACCGAATAGACCGGCAGCAAATGAACAATACCTGTTTCTGTCGCAAGAAATGTGGCCTTTCGTGAGAAAAAAAAATATTGTTTTGTGAACTGACTTTCGCAGTTGCCATTCGATTTGATTAAAAGTAGGAAAATTTCTCAATTCATTAAGATTGAAAGAGTGTGATAACAAGACGTGAATTTCTTAACATTTTTATTCATGCTATACACGTATTTAAGGACCCAAAGACCCACTTCCGTCCCTAAAGTTGATGTATGGGACGATATTAGTTCCGTTTCTTGGAATTTTCCTTTTATGAATTGAATGATGTGTCATGATATAGTTTTCAAACGACCTTTGTTTGTCAGTGTTAAAACCGCCAGCTCAGTGAATAATATCCTTAAAAAAACACAGAGAGCCATGAACAATACCAGTTTCCTTTTGTTCTTTTAACTGCACAGTCAGCGAATCCAAGGTGTTCTCGCTCACGCAGTAAGATTAAAGAAATTCGACAATATGTGTTATATGTGTTGGGCCCAGATCGATCATTCAGGGTGAAGATGCGTGAACTGATCCAGATTTTTCTCATAGTTTGCATTACATTTTCTTGTAACCTTTTTAGAAATATATTTTTATCAGCCATAATTACATAGTCAATAAAACGGCAATAAGGAAAATGAGGGGTGCTCAAATTGTGTTCCTGTAAAATATCGGCATTCTTTCACCATCACATGTACATGTATCAAGTTTGATTGACGTCAAGGATTTTAAAAAAATTCTATAAAAAGACTCGCTGCGAGTTGAAAGGTAACTTAAAACTGTTGACTTAACCTTCATTTGGCTAGTGCCAACTAGTCAAGCTCGGTCGTTGTTTCATATTAGTGAAAGAAACAGCTCCACAAGAAGAAGTGTTCAAAGATGCTGGTAGCAACGTTTTTTATCTTTTGTGCCTGTTGGCTTCACGTTCGAGCAGAAATAGTGTCAACGAAGTATGGAGATATCGATGGTCTCGTGACTGCGTATCCGAATGCCTCTGGTCCCTTCAAATCGATCAGCAAATTTCTTGGCGTTCCTTTCGCCGCTCCACCAACTGGAGAGCTAAGGTTTAAAGCCCCACAACCACCAAAAGGTGGAAACCAAAGGTTTATTCGGCTAAAACCCATGGGAGCGTCTGCTTACAGCCCAAACTTTTCGAAAACTTAATCGAGGCTTTTACTTCAAATTTCACTTTCAGCGAGGATTGCTTATATCTTGATATCTACAGCCCGAACATCAGCCTCAGTTTGCCAGTGATGGTTTACATTCACGGTGGAAGTTACCTTATGGGAACAGCGATCATTTTTCCTAGCGATATCCTGGCTCTCCAGGGGGTGGTGGTGGTCATAATCCAGTATCGTCTAGGTCCCTTTGGTTTCTTGACGACCGGTGATTCAGCGGCACCTGGTAACTATGGAATGTTGGATCAAGTGGAAGCACTGAAGTGGGTCAAAGAAAACATTGAGAACTTTGGCGGGAATCCCAGCAAAGTGACCATATTTGGAGAGAGCGCTGGAGGATCCAGCGTGGGGCTCCATCTTCTATCGCCTCTATCACGTGATCTCTTTCATCAAGCCATTCCAGAGAGCGGTGTAGATTTAAGTCCCTTTGCGATTCAGCCAACGTCTTTTGGTCTCCGTTTCACTAAAGAGCTTGCACAAAAACTGAATTGTGGATCCAGTGACCATTCTGCAATGGTTTCTTGTATGCGCAGAAAAACAGCGTCAGACATGCAAAAAGCCGCAGAGTCAATCAAATTTGGTTTCGTTAATTATATTTACTGGGCACCAGTCGTAGATAAAAACTTTCTTCATGATACACCCCAGGTTTTGAGGAAAAAAGGAGAATTCAAGCCATTGCCGCTTATCATCACCTTCACTAGTAACGAGGGGGCGACTTTTCTTGGAGACATGGTCAACAATTCTTTTGGGCTGATGGAGAGCGTTGACAATGGAGTCAGTCCGACCTTGTTTAAATCATTTCTTACTAAGTTCGCTCAAGTTCAAAACAGTAGGTAAGATCAGTAAAAATTAAATATTTGCTCAGTAGTTTCAATGCAGCAGAACCCCTTTAACTCCAACTTCCCGCCAACTCTGACTAAATTCAATTTCCCTTGGATTTCAACACGCTTTTCTGTCATTTTTACTCGGTTAACTCCAACTTGGAAAACTCGAATTCCCCGCTAACTCGAACTAAAACACCTTTTCGCCTCCCCTGATAAAAAAAGTCTCGGAAATGTACCCCGATAACTCGAATTCTGGTTCTTTTAACTACTAAACTAATCTATAAACTAACTAATCCCAGTAGCTCTTCTTGTTATATGAGGGCGTGAAACACTAAAACTGATATTAGTCACTGTTAAAGGCAATTTCATTTTAATTGGTGAAACATACAGATCACGTTTTATCATAAAAGTGCCTAATCATGTTACCGTGTCTGATGAAATAAGTAAACTTGTACTGCACCATACACTGAAATGAATTTTTCAATCGACCCCGGTAAATCCCGGCGTGACCACTCGAACTGTTCCGTAATCGAACTTAATCGAACGATTGGGTTCGATTAAGTTCGGTAATCGAACACAAGCGAACCACGAGAGTTCGATTAAGTTCGATTTTTGAACTTAATCGAAGCAATCGAACTTAATCAAGCGTTCTAAACCAACACTCAAAATAGACAAGAACAAAGCGATAAAACAACCAAATCAACTGAGATCGTGAGGAATAAATGTTCCGGGTTTATTGAATTCGCGTGATCGGTTTGTTTTACTGTAGCGCTGCTTTCACGTGGCAGACACAAACGTGGCGGAAGTCTGAACGTGCCGGTGCGTCTGGCTGCGGCGTTACATACAAGGGACGTTGTAAAGTTAAAAAACTCTTTAATGAAGCATATCATTCACTCTGTGATTGAGGAGGTCGATTAAAGGATAAAGTTGTAATATGGCTATGTAGTCTTATGGTTCCGGGTTGTACTTGTATATATTATCGCTCCAAAAATTAAACTACACCGTACACCGATCCGCTACAACGTAACCACTACCGGAATATACTCAGTCGTAGTTTATTATGTACCCTGTTTAGGACAGAAAGGTCAAGAACCTCACCCTGTCCAGCGGCACATTCCCTTATAGGTCATATAACCTAAGCAAGTAACCTCCCGGGGACATAACAGGCCACCAACCATGTTGCATTAACATTTATCAAGAGAGAGTAATAGTGACTGCTGTTTCTCTCTGGAGACCATCCTCCGATTAACTCAAGCGTTTGTCGGTATCAAATTAACTTTGGTGAAATTCACATATCCCCAGGGCTAGACAGGGCGTTTCCCTCTGTGTCTCATTATTCCCTTTTTGCATTTATTTATTCATTTGCTTGTGTTTTATTTGCGCGCAGTATTTTACTTTTCCCTTCAAAATAAAACTAGTGAGGCAAGTTCCTCGGATTGCTTCACCCTGGGCACGGCTCTGGTCTTTGGAATAATTGTTAAATATCCGTCACTTTTTTTTAGGAAGAAGAATGCTGATCTTCTCGCCGATGCCTTGGAGTTCATGTACACCCCTTGGCCTGATAACAGTAACACATACGCATTAAGAAGTGGACTTGTTGATGTTATTGGAGATAACCTTTTCGTTGCCCCCAGTCACAAAGTCGCTGATGTTCACAGTCAGGTCGCTCCTGTTTACATGTATGAATTTGCTCATCGGGGAAAGTCAAGTTTGGAGGTACGTGCAGAGTGGATGGGTGTTGTTCATGCTGAAAACATTCCGTTTGATTTCGGAGTTCCTTTCCTTCCCAAATTTTCGCCACATTATAGTCCCGCTGACAGAAATGTCAGTCTGTTTATCATGACCATGTATGCAAACTTTGCCCGGTCCGGCGATCCTTCAGTCAGCGGTGTCACGTGGGAGAAATACAACTCGAGTCACAGAGCTTACCTTAAAGTGGACACAAGTCCCAAACTGAAGGCGTCATTTAATTCTCGCCGAATGTCTTTTTGGAATAATTATTATCCTAAATTGGAGCAGGTGAAGTTTGATGTCAATAAAGAGGTGGTCAGCGGTGCAAAGGATGTTGTTACCATGGGAACTGCTCTTCAAGTTGTATTTGCTTTAATAGTATACTTGATTTACTAAGACCTTATTTTGTTTTTTACTCATTGATTCAAGTTTATTAGAAGTGGATAAGACTAACATTTTCTTTAATGTTTATGAGCGGAAAGTAGAGCATGATGTATGTAGCCGAATCAACTAAAAAAGATCAGTACAGAAAAAAGGGCGATTTCAGTTTTAGCTAAAAAGTTCATAACTGTTATTGAATGAAGCTGAGAATGATACGAGGAATTATGCAGATAGAGGATTAAATAATTATAGTGGTCATTGAATTAATAGGGTACAGACTTAAAATGAGTGTTGCTCCTGCAATTCAGATAACCATACATCGGTAGAGGATGCCTAAGCTTCGTACAATTCTACAATTGTTTTGGGCTCCATTAAATCCTAATTTTGCATCTTTAAGTTCTGGCAGTCTTCCTTGTATTTGACCGAGCATTTAATTTACTATTGCGATTTTAGCTGATCGCACTGCTCTGAATAAAGTACGGTCAAACCTCTCTACAAAGGTCATGGGTTTACATCGTCCACGTTTTCTGTTCATAGACTCGAGTATTCCCTCGTTTTCCTTAGAGACAGCAAAGCGAGAGAAAAGACCATTTGAAAAAACATCGTTCGCGATTCTTATTGGACGTATCATTTTTTTCACGTTTAAAAACATCGTTCGCTCCTTTGATTGGGTTGAACTAATTTGCGTATGAAAATTTACGACATAGCTTTTTGGTTAGTATTTCTCAGTATGTATATTCAGCCGGATTCATGAAAACCGCACTGGCTGGCTCCTCGAGGCCAAACACCTTAAACCGACTCAACTAAAGTAAATATTCGCAAGAAACTAAGCTCTTACCCATGGTTCTCTTAAGGTGACTCTCTTCTTGGTTCCTGATTAGCGAAGAAACATTCAAAGTCCATCAAATAGACACTCTGGACTTGGCCATACACTCTAGCTGCTTGAAGGCTCTAAATGACAGAGGATGCTTGAGACTTAAGCAAGTTCTAGGCAGAGAATTCAAGGCCACATCACTCCCGCTGACTTTCTCCCCCACCCCAGCCTAGCAGGTACTTGAGGGGAATGCTTTCATTGGCCAATGGGCCTCAAACATTACAAGAGCTTAAGGCAGACATGACGAGTGCACTGACTCTACCACAGCAAGACTATCGGGCAGTACCACGCTTTTGCAGCACCCCTCTAGAGATTGACGTGGAGGCTTCTTCCCAACCCATGCTAAGTTAGCTCAAGGACTGAGCTTGACAATGAGACCAACCAGGACGGCAAGGCCCCTATGTTTATTCTAACCGCAGTGACCAGAAACCTGGCTATCGCCAGGTTCCTGTTCGGATATTCTGGCCCGTTTTGAGGTATGTTTTCAAAAATTCGGCTCGATATAATAAAGAGTTTTATTTCATCCCTTCCCATAGCGGTCGCCTGTTTAATTAATTCTAATTGTTATTTTTGACTAGAAATGCTGTTGCTTACGCAATAGTGAAAGAAAAATTCAAAACTGAGAAAAGACAACCTAGTGGAAAATAAACCAACCCGGTGACGTTTTCTCCTAGAACCCGGTAAAGATACAGATTCCACTGGGTCTGTTACAGAGGGGTGTTCATATTGTCCACCTTTCAACAAGGGACACGTACCTCACAAGAGGCCACACAAGATTTGTGAACGTTGTTCCTTTTTTTTTTAATTTAGAGGAAACGTTCTTCTTAATATTATCATAATACACTTTAATATATACACACTCAGTTATCTTAGTGATCTAAACAATCTGATTGGTTCGCTATCTCGGACTATTCACCCCTAAGCGAGTGGATAATGTGTGAGCTCGGTGTTTTTCCCCTTTTTCAGAGAACGATCTTTTAAAAGTCGACAAAATCCTAGGGTTGACTTTCTTTAAGGTAAGAAAAGACTTGAAAGGATTCAAAACGGCGTTTTTCCATTTACTGTAGTTGAGTTTTGTGCTCGATGGATTGTTTACAACTCCCGTTTATTCGCGTAGAAGAAGGCATTTATCAGGGGCACCCAACGAGAATATAGTTCAAAACCACTCAACATAGCATTGTTAAACGTATTTTAGTATTTAAACGGTAGATTTAGGCATAATTTTATCCCCTAAACAGTTTTCAGAGATCTGTTCGGATTTCCTAGCTGAAAGTCTAGTGATCCGAAAATTATAGGGATCAAAACTTACCTTTTCGAAAATTTCAGCCAGAAAAATGGCTCCCGAAAATTCTAGGTGACCTTTTTAGGGTAAAAATCCGTAAAAATGGGCAATTATACCATTTTTTAGCTGTTCGAAAATCCTAGGAGAGGCAGGCAAGCAAGAAATTTTACGACAAATGTTCCGAAAATTCTAGATCTCAAATCGTCTTCCGAACAGATATTTCCCGAATATTGACGTTGGGTGCCCCTGATTTATCGAAGTTTATTTATGACAAACAAATCTGAAAGCAAATGTTTGCAAAGATTCTACGTTTCAAGCAAATAGGAAAAAGAATGGTACAGGAAGACGACGTCTTACCTCCCCGAGCAACCGAGCTGCCATTTTTATCGGCACTTCATGCGAAGAATGACACAACAAACCCTTTTGGCTATAAACTTAGCGAGTCAACAGAAAACAACAAAGCTCTACTTTTCTTCTCGGGTAAGGAAACAATTCAAACTTTTAACGGTTCCGTTTAACCCTGATTAAGATCAAAATAAACTTGTTTGTATTTTATTTATTTTTGTCCTTGTTCCCTTTTATCAGCTATCAAAAGAGTTTTGAAGGCCGCTTATCAGTTACCTTCACACTCTTTTAAAGAATTCTAATCCAATAAGACACCCTGTTGAAGTCGCTAAATGGAGAAATTGTTTTCCCTGTTAAGAACTCAAGACCCTGAAAACCATGCTTTCAGCGGCTCAACCGTATAGGCCCAAGGAAGTACTCCTCCCCGGATGTTCGGACCAGTTTTTTTAAGTTGAATAGCGCTATCTGCGGATAGATTTCTCTTCGGTTGGTTGGTGTGTGGAATAACAAACTGCGTTTATGTGGTGGTCTGGATAACACATATTTTGCTGAATACTCAAACTAATGACACATTCTAATGGTCATTTCAGCGATTTTGCTTTTATCAATTGCATGATCTGTTTATGATATGTGCATAAAACTTATATGTGTTGTTAAAACTGCCAACCCCAATAAACCGGCAGCAAATGAACAATACCAGTTTCTGTCGCAAGAAATGTGGTCTTTCGTGAGAAAAAAATATATTGTTTTGTGAACTGACGACTTTCGCAGTTGCCATTCGATATGATTAAAAGTAGGAAAATTCCTCAATTCATTGAGATTGAAAGAGCGTGATAACAAGACGTGAATTTCTTAATATTTTTATCCATACTATACAGGTATTTAAGGACCCTAAAGACCCACTTCCGTCACTAAAGTCGATATATCGGACGATATTATTTCCGTTTCTTGGAATTTTCCTAATATTAATTCCATGATGTGTCATGATATACTTTTCAAAAGACCTTTTTTCGTCAGTATTAAAACCGCCAGCTCAGTGAATAATATCCTTAAAAAAACACAGAGAGCCATGAACAATACCAATTTCCTTTTTTGCTTTAAAATGTACAGTTAGCGAATCCAACGTGCTCTCGCTCATGCAGTAAGACTAAAGAAATTCGACAATTTGAGTTGTATGTGTTGGGCCCAGATCGATCATTCAGAGTGAAGATGCGTGAGCTGATCCAGATTTTTCTCATAGTTTGTTATAAATTTTCTTGTAACCTTCTTAGAAACATATTTTTATCAGCTAGATTACATAGTCAGTAAAACGCCAATAAGGAACATGAGGGGTGCTCAAATTGTGTTCCTGTAAAATATCGGCACTCTTTCACCATCACATGTACATGTATCAAGTTTGATTGACGTCCAGGATTTTAAAAAAATTCCATAAAAAGACTCGCTGCGAGTTGAAAGGTAACTTAAAACTTAATTAAAACCTTCATTTGGCTATTGTCAACAAGTCAAGCTCGGTCGTTGTTTCATATTAGTGAAAGAAACAGCTCTACAAGAAGAAGTGTTCAAAGATGCTGCTAGCAACGTTTTTTATCTTTTGAAAATAGAGAAATAGTGTCAACTAAGTATGGAGATATCGAAGGACTCGTGACTTCGTATCCAAATGCCTCTGGTCCTTTCAAATCCGTCAGCAAATTTCTTGGCGTTCCTTTCTCCGCTCAACCAACTGGAGAGCTAAGGTTTAAAGCACCACAACCGCCAAAAGAGTGGAAACCAAAGGTTTATTCGGCTAAAACCCATGGGAGCGTCTGCTTGCAGCCCGCCAAACTTTTCGAAAACTCAATGGAGCCTTTTACTTCAAATTTCACTTTCAGCGAGGATTGCTTATATCTTGATATCTACAGCCCAAATATCAGCCTCAGTTTGCCAGTGATGGTTTACATTCACGGTGAATTTTACCTTCTAGGATCAGCAATCACTTCTCCCAGCGATATCCTGGCTCTCCGGGGGGGGTGGTGTTCATTATCCAGTATCGTCTTGGTCCCTTTGGTTTCTTGACGACCGGTGATTCGGCGGCACCTGGTAACTATGGAATGTTGGATCAAGTGGAAGCACTGAAGTGGGTCAAAGAAAACATTCAGAATTTTGGCGGGAATCCCAGCAAAGTGACCATATTTGGACAGAGCGCTGTCGGATTCAGCGTGGGGCTCCATCTTCTATCGCCTCTATCAGCTGATCTCTTTCATCAAGCCATCCTAGAGAGCGGTGTAGATTTAAGTCCCTTTGCGATTCAGCCAACGTCTTTCGTCTTCCGTTTCACTAAAGAGCTTGCACAAAAACTGAATTGTGGATCCAGTGACCATTCTGCAATGGTTTCTTGTATGCGCAGCAAAACAGCGTCAGCCATGCAAAGAGCCGTAGAGTCAATCAAATTTGGTCTCGTTGACTGGGCACCAGTCGTAGATAAAAACGTTCTTCACGATACACCTCAGGTTTTGAGGAAAAAAAGGAGAATTTAAGCAAGTGCCGCTTATCATCACCTTCACAAGTAACGAGGGGGCGACTTTTCTCGGAGACATCGTCAACAATTCTTATGGGCTGATGGAGAGCGTGGACAATGGAGTCAGTTCGACTTTGTTCAAATCATTTCTTATTAAGTTCGCTCAAGTTCAAAAAACCAGTTAAGATCAGTGAAAATTAAATATTTGCTCAGTAGTTTCAACGCAGCAGAACCCCGTTAACTCCAACTCGCCGCTAACTCTAATTAAGTTCAATTTCCCTTGGATTTCACCTCGTCCCTTTCCTCTCATTTTTACTCGGTTAACTCCAACTCGGATAACTCGAATTCCACTACCGAAATATACTCAGTCGTAGGTTATTATGTACCCTGTTTAGGACAGAACGGTCAAGAACCACACCCTGTCCAGCGGCACCACATCCCCGTATAGGTCATATAACCTAAGCAAGTAACCTCCCGGGGTCATAACATGCCACCAACCATGTTGCATTAACATTTATCAAGAGAGAGTAGTAACGACTGCTGTTTCTCTCTGTAGACCATCCTCCGATTAACTCAAACGTTTATCGATATCAAAATAACTTTGGTGAAATTCACATATCCCAAGGGCTAGACAATGTGTTTCCCCCTGTGTCTCATTATTCCCTTTTTGCATTTATTTATTTATTTGCTTGTGTTTTATTTGCGCGCATTTTTTTTGCTTTTCCCTTCAAAATAAAACTAGTGAGGCAAGTTCCTCGGATTGTTTCACACTGGGCACGGCTCTGGTCTGTGGAATAATTGTTAAATATCCGTCACTTTTTTTTAGGAAGAAGAATGCTGATCTTCTCGCCGATGCCTTGGAGTTCATGTACACCCCCTGGCCTGACAACAGTAACACATACGCATTAAGAAGTGGACTTGTTGATGTTATTGGAGATAAAATTTTCGCTGCCCCCAGTCACAAAGTCGCTGATGTTCACAGTCAGGTCGCTCCTGTTTACATGTATGAATTTGCTCATCGGGCAAAGTTAAGTTTGGCGGTACGTGCAGAGTGGATGGGCGTTGTTCATGGCGAAAACATTCCCTTTGATTTTGGACTTCCTTTCCTTCCTAAATTTTCGCCACATTATAGTCAGGCTGACAGAAATGTCAGTCTGTTTATCATGAGCATGTACGCAAACTTCGCCCGGTCCGGCGATCCTTCAGTCACCGGTGTCACGTGGGAGAAATACAACTCGAGTCACAGGGCTTACCTTAAAGTGGACACAAGTCCCAAACTGAAGACGTCATTTAATTCTCGCCGAATGTCTTTTTGGAATAATTACTATCCTAAATTGGAGCAGGTGAAGTTTGATGTCAATAAAGAGGTGGTCAGCGGTGCAAAGGATGTTGTTACCATAGGAACTGCTCTTCAAGTTGTATTTGCTTTAATAGTATACTTGAGTTATTAAGACCTAGCTTTGTTTTTTACTCATTCATTCAAGTTTATTAATTAGAAGTGGATAAGACTAGCATTTTCTTTAGCGGATAGGACGGAAAGTAGAGCATGATGTATGTAGCCGAATCAACTAAAAAAAGTCAGTAAAGAAAAAAGGGCGATTTCAGTTTTTGCTAAAAAGTTCATAACTGTTACTGAATGAGGCTGAGAATGATACGAGGAATTATGCAGATAGAGGATTGAATAATTATACTGATTAGTGAATTAACAGGGTACAGACTTAAAATGTTTGTTGCTGCTGCAATTATAACCATGCATTCATCGCTAGGATGCCTAAAGTTCGTACAATTCTACAATTGTTTCGGGTTCCATTAAATCCTAACTTTTGGTAGTAGTCTTCATTGTATTTGGTCGAGCATTTAATTACTATTGCAATTTTAGCTGCTCTGAATAAAGTACTGAGTCGAACCTCCCTACAAAGGTCATGGGTCTACATAAGTGTCTATATAAGTGTCTGTATAAGTATTCTAAGTACAGTAGAACCCCGATAACTCGAACTCTGAAAGGAAACGAAAAACAGTTCGAATTAATTAGCGCTGTTAGAAATTGATGTTTACTGATTTCTCAGTACTTCATTGTATGGTGCAGGACAAATTTAATTATTTCATCAGAAACGGTACGATAACGTGATTAGCAACTTTTATGATAAAACGTGATCTGTCCGTTTCACCAGTTAAAATTAAATTGCCTTTAATAGTGACCAGTGTTAGTAATGGTGTTTTCAGGCCCTTTACAACAAGAAGAGCTAATGGAGTGGTATCCGAGTAGTTAAAAGAACCAGAGTTCGAGTTATCGGGAAAATTTCAGTAACTTTTTGATCGGCTTAGCAGGGAGTTCGAGTTATCGGGGTTCTACTGTATTCGCTTCGAGTACCAATCCTGTAACCGTAGGTCCGAGTAAACTTATGTCATCGTGGGGATGTGCCGCAGGGACTCTGGAACCCTTAGCCTATACCAGAGCTAGTTCAGCTGAATTTTTCTGCCCTATACTAGACTAAACTCCCCACATCCCTCCTACCGTAGAGTACCTTTTAGGCTGAGTTGCGTAAATTTAAACTTGCCGATTTGATTTTTTTTATTTTTGGAAGGCAATTCCCGATTTTCCTAGTCTAGACTAAAATCGTCAACCAACTGATCTGTTTCATGGAAAATGATACCCTATTCTAGACGCACATACCTATGTAGCCCATATGTGGCAGTACCCACCCCCCGGGGTTCCAAAACAGCCTTGGTCGAACCCACTTCAATTTAACCTTAAATTAGCTTGACGCTTGTGCGACGTTTTAATCTTATCTTTGCTTGCCAAGTAGATTTTAATTAAAATGTGTTTCATTGGGATCTATTATTATTCGCTATGAGGTACCACGAGCCCTAAACTTATGTCATTTAGAGACTTCACGGATTGATGCGATCTCAGAAATCCAGGTTTTGTTGATGGCTGCCATCATATGTTATCTCTCACTGTCAAGAATAATGGACCTTCTGGTCAAGCACGTTTAAATTAAGTTCGACGTTTGAATGAACTATTGAGCCAAAGTACAGCATATAATGCTGTTAACTCGATACTTCAGAAGCACGACTTCTGAAAAAAAAAAAAAAACGGCTAGCGTAAAAATGATGGCAATGATGTGGTTCGGTGATTTTGCTGATTGCATGATCTGTCTTGACATGCTGTATTCATATGAGTTTTATTTCTAATTAATCTGCCCACTTAATGAATTGTATCATTTAGACCCATGTCAGCCTGCTATTGTTCTGTAAATTGCGCAGTCATCGAATCCGACGCGCGCTCGATCGGCGATCACGCAGTAAACTAATTAAAGTAATTCAAAAACTGTCGAAAGGCCAGTTACTTTGCACGTTTTATACACAAGAGTCAAATCAAACGCGCCGGCCGGGGAGAGATTCCTATTAACAGCCGTCTTTAAGGGGCCCGGTGTCACAGCTGTAAGTTCATTTTGTTTATAATGTCAGTTATGAGCCCTTTTTCGCTTTAGAACTTGGTAATTTCTACCAAAGCAATCAATT